CACTGACAAGTGGACTGAGCCATGTTGGTAGGTGTAGACTACCTGGTTGGGGACCACGAGATGATAGCAACCGATGGTTAGAGACCCTGAATGACATGGCTCAAAATCGTTTGCAATGGCGCAGGTGCATCTACTCTTTGTGTTCTCCCAAATTTCGGTCTCCTTATCCCTCCTTGTCTTTTTTTCTCTTCCCAAATTTATTTCACTGGATTATACTCTTTAAATAACATCTCCAAACCCTAATCTTCCCGATTACTGCTTATACTCTTACTACCTCTACCACTACGGGATTTGAATCGACAATTGTATCTCTGTGGTAATGTGGTGTGGCATCTCGAACTGATGCACGTACGTACGAAGTTCTACGTTGTTACTGACTGACTGACAACACTAGTCAGCATTGCGCGTCGTGGTAATCAGTGTTCAGGCATACGTAACACGTGGCTCAACCATCTCAGTCGATGAAGATTCACAACTTCATCAACTGATTTACCATCGTTCCCTAATACCCTGTGTCTAACTTCACTATTACTCACCCGGTGATCCCAGCAAATGCTGGCAATATTTCTAAGGTATCTGTGACCAAATACTAGTAAATCACGAACAATTTCTACTTTTATTGACTGCGCTTCGCAGACGTAAAGTAGAACAGAACGGGTTGCTGCACAGTACACTCGTCCCTTAATTGACAGACGGATACCTCGCCTTTGCCATCGGTGACGTAAGTTGGCAAAAGCCAAACGAGCTTTTCGAATCCGTGCAGAGATTTCGTCAGACACCAACCCATTAGGGTTGACCGGACTTCCAAGATCAGCGAAGTTGTCGACGCGTTCGACTACTTCACTCCCTATCCTCATTTCAGGTGTTGACACAGACCAGTCCTGAAGCAACAACTTGCATTTGGAGAGGGAGAAACTCATTCCGAACATTCTGGCATTGTTGCCCAGTGCTAGCAAAACACTCTGCATTTTATCAGTGTCTTCACTAAACAGGACTATATCATCTGCGTATTCTAAGTCGATAATTGGACCTCCTTCCAGGAGGTCAATGCTTATGTACTTCTAAGAATCGCCTTTCAACGATAGATACTGTTACCGAACCTCTCGGTCCACAGAGTCAAATTGTGCTTTTAAGTCAAGAAAGATCACCATTGTCGGACGCCGATAAGTATGCCTGTGTTCTAGAACCTGACGAATGGTGAATATGTGATCGATGCAGATACAACAAGTTCTGAAGCCAGCTTGAGTCTCTCGTGTTTGCAATTCATGAGTCTTAGTTAGGTGTCCGATAATTATCGAGGCTAGTATTTTACATACTATATTAGTTAAACTAATCCCTCTATGGTTGTCTCAGGATGATTTTGACCCTCTCTTATATATTGGGACGATAAGTGATTGTGACCACTTAGATTGGATAACGTCTAACTCCCAGATCTTAGCTAAAATATTAGTCAACCTAATCGCTAATATTGGACCACCATCCTTAAAGTTCTCTGGAGCCAGTCCATCTGGACCAGCTGCCCTTCCTCGCTTCAGATTAACTATAGCCTTTTGAACTTCAGTAAGAGTTGGGGGACCTACTTTAATGTTCCATTCACACTGTCTGGGAATGGAGGGTAGTTGTAGAGTAGCTGAAGGCCAGTTGAACTGTTCTCTGAAATGTTCCGCCCATCGTTCTAAACGTCTGGACTGGGAGCAGATGAGAGTATCGTCTTTTTCTGATATAATCTCACTTACACTTGACTTATTAATTCCAGTTTCTTTTACTAGTCTGTAAAGCTGTCTTGTGTTCCCTATAGTCGCCGCCTTTTCCATCTCTTTTGCTTTCATTGCCCACCACTGCTCACGGTCGTTTCTTAGACTTTTTCTTAACCTAGATCTGAATTGTTGTCGCTCTTCATCATGTTCGGAACCTGATGGGATGAGTTTGCGAGAATACATCAGTGTGATAGACCTTGAGTAAAAGCATTGGTTCTTTGTAACCCTGTGGTTCAAATAACTAATAGATGTCACTGCTGTTTCCACAGCTGTTTGTATGGCTTTCCAAGCAACATCTGGGTCAGCGTCGTTTTCAGAATCACCTAATTATGACCTCAGTTATCTCTGGAACCTACTTTTGGTTTTCTCAATTCAGTTCTAATGGGTCTTTTTACTGTGGCTTTTTTGCGTCCAGTGAGGCGCAAGCAGATGCGTGCCCGTATTAGGGCGTGGTCGGGGTCCAAGCAGGTACACCAGAATTAGCGACAATCTCCTACCGACGTTCTCCAACGATGACTGATGGCAATATGGTCTATTTGAGTCCATCGTTGGTTTGGTGTAGGGAGTCACCATATTAGACGATGTCTCTCCTTATGCTTAAAATTTGTGTTTGCTAAAAATAAACGATTGTCTGAGCATAGTTGCAGCAGACGATCACCATTATCTGCTCGTTGTGTCGGAATACTGAAATACCCACCTAAATGCCTTTCTGTTTGATTTAGGCTACCTAGCTGGGTATTAAATTCACCAGCTACGAGTATTTTGTCTCAGCGTTTAGCTTTCTGAAGAAGTTCAGATAGCTTTCTGTAAAATTCATCTTTCACTTCATGTGAGCTGCAGTCGGTGGGAGCGTAGGCAGTGCTATAACTTGTGTCTGCAGATTAGAGGACAGCGTATTATCGATCGGACCAAAGACGCGTAAATACGTAAGAACGGTCTGGAGTTCTGATTGGTCCCGCTCCCCTCTCTAGTCCAGCCATTTGAGTCCAGAACGCAAGTCTCAGCCTCTGAGATATGAATCATTATATTTCAAGCATACTGAATTTATATACCAAACAAACCGACCACAACGTACCAATAAAGGATGGAACAACATTTGTACTAGAACTAGCCAGATGTGGCTGTGAATGAGGGAGGTAGTAATCAATATACTGGCTATAACTCAAGAATGGTAAAACGTATAATAATGGTTCATAGGTCAAAATAAAGCTTATAATAAGAGGGGCATGAATATGAACAGTTTAGTTACATAATAATTATACAATAAAAATATGCTCATAATATTGGTCCATAAATGGATCCCAAAAATTACGATTCATTATTCTTATCGGGATACAACAGGCAGAAACGACAAAAAGGCAACGACGTGTGTCCCTATCCTTCCTAGTTCCTACGGAGCCGTTTAGCTGAACAGCGCATAAACGACTGTTAACGGGGATCCACTCTAACAGTGCTTGTTCCGCCCTCATGCTTAGTGCTATGTCTACATCTGCCAGTCCACGAGAACTGGCCATCGGGTCACCAGATACACAGAGGGTGTATCTCGTTGGCTCTCCGTTTTGCCGAGGTGGGGTCAAGTGAATGACCACACTGGGATCCTGTATGCGTGTTTCAGAGACACAGCATACATGAATGGTACGAGATTCTATGGTTCTAGCCAAGGAAGCCTGCTGACCGATTTGACATAGGGTGCGTACGTTGGAGGCTCCAATGTGTAGTTTGGAGCGAGGTTTCAGTAGACCTGGGACAATGTTTTGAGCACTAGAATCGTTGGCTATGGTGACATTTGAGAAGGAAGCCGAAAGAGGAAGTTTAGCGTTGAAAGTCGATGTAGGAGGAATAACAGGAATTGAAGACGGAGGTTGATTATGAATACAGTGGTCTTGAGTGCTGTTAGAGGTATGAGGGCGGTTATCACTTCCCGGTTGCCCACACCATGAAAGGGTTGTTCTGGAGGTACCTGAAAAGGAAATTGGATTAGAGGTGGTCTTAGTGACCTGAGAGCATGACCTCAGTGCCCAACGGACAACTGCTTGAGGTCAACCACACACAACCATCTTTGTTAGCTCCGTACTTGTTGAGACCTTATCACCGAAGACGGACATCCGTGGGGTAAGGCGGAGTGTGCATTTTTTGGGTGGACCTTTTCTAACCCCACCCCACCTCGTGGGAAAGCAACATCGCTGTTATGATGGTTGTCCGGAGGAAACACCTCACTGCTGTCATACCTCTGTACAGTCAGCAGTATGACTTCGCCTTCAGACCTTGAGTTTGTTGCTTCTAGTTTTACCGCTCTTCAATCGACCTGTCTGACATTGTAGGATCTTGAGGAACGGTTGTTCCAGCCAATATAGCTCGATTGGTTCATCACGATAGGCAAGCCCGACCACCACGTTAAGGTAGCAACAACGGTCGGGCGGCGAACGGAACGAAGTATCAGCAACACAACGATAAGACAAGCTAAGTTATTCCATTGCATCGTAGCCCTAATGACTAGAGGGAGAAGTATATTACACAAGCAGCCTGAATCACGAACAAATCAAGCACACAACTTAAGTCTATATATATACAGTATAAAAAGGTCTTCGAGAAACGCCGCAAAAAGTGTCTTAAAAGAGGGATCGAATCAATGAATTTTAAGATCCTTCCAAATAGAAAATACAATCGGAAGGTTGAAGTAATCGCCTTTGATGCGAAAACAAGAAATTCAAATTTCCGAAATAAAATTACAAAAATAAGACGTTTACTAAGCGATTTATGGGGATCTAGCGTCCCCAACAGGCGCCGCCGTAAGGTCAAAAGAGTCAGCAACAGTCGGACATCGAAAATTGTGTCTGTGTTTCATAATCTACCAAAGAGTGAATATTTGGTCTGATACCAACCTGGTTTTTAAGCTCTAGTTGGATTGTCATAAGAGGAATTAAGTCCTTTCTTAGAGATTGGGAGGATCAGCGATTGAAAACTAGTCTGATGTTATTATGTTCAGTTCCAAGATTTTTTGCTAAAATCACATCTGATCTAACTTTCAACACTTCTTTTTGTTAAACTGCAAGGAATCTAATATCCGTTTCAATTATATCTTAATCCTGAGAGTTAACACACTTGTTGGAAATTAGCACAGCTTCGTTCAATAAAAGTATTAAATTGTCTACTCTCAGTTGTGTATAAAATTATCATTTTTTTCAGATTTATTTGTAAAATAGTGATGTTTCTGTGTTTATTTTGTTATTTTTTCTATTACAGCGTAGCGAAAAAACAGATTTTCTCAGTTTTTTCTATAAACGATGCATCAATACACTTGTTCGTCCATTATTTGATAATACTTCAAAAGATACACTGGAGAAGGGTAATGGGAAATATTTCCGTTTATCATACGCTTTTTTTCTATTGTAGATGATTATCACACTGCATTAGTTTTGAACCATATAATTGAATTGCTCACGTTCTGTATTGAAACTCATACATACCACATGAAGAATTACTGCTTTAATCGTGATCTACTAAAACGTGTTCTCGTTTTATTGCTATCATCTCATAAATTCCTTGTGTTAGGTAGGTTAACTCATTCTCAGCATTAATCTGCTGTCTATTTTTAGCTGCTTTACGTCTTCTAAGACGTGTTGTCCATATGAAAGAAGAATTTTATAATCGTTATTTGATCAAAAACAATCTTTTTAAACCAGTTTTGAAGCTCTTCGTTTCCAACGGATATCGTTACAACCTGTTGGACTCAGCTATTATCGAACTTTTTGACTATATTCGCTCTGAAGAAATAACTTCATTAATTACCCATATAATAGAAAATTATTGGGATATTTTGAAAAATATAAATTACGTACAAACGTTTACCGATCTAAAACGAGCATACGATCACAGTCATCGTTCAGTTAGGACTGTTGTTGGAACTGTGACCCAGCAAGCGACATTAGATGTGTAAGTTTTATTTGTTTGAACTTGGTAGCAGTTTGTCTGCGTTATTTCTTTTTGTTATCAGTGGGATTATAAAGTGAGGGCACTTGTTGTACAATTTCTTAAAGAAATATCCTATAACTATCAATACATATACTGTCGGGTTGAAATCATTCATTTAAAGAGGAGTATCTACTTATTTTCAAAATTCAAATAAGTCTTGATTGCCGTTAAGTTATTTGGTGTCGTTAACCTTCATTAATGGATAGAAAGGCAATTAATCTGGATTGCTTTGTGAAAAGATATTTCTAATGTTTCTTTTATAAAATGAACTCTAATGGCTTCTAGTTCATTTGAGTGTTATTTACAACGAAATTACCTCTATTGTCAATTTAAATCTAACTTATTTACTAATGTACCTATCAACAAAGTATGAGATATTATTTATGATTGTTTATAATCTGACTCAGATTTGAATTTACGATGCCCGTTAGATCCTTCCGAAGTTATTAAGTGTTTTGGAATTGTATTTACGACCGACGTTATTTTCATTCCGAAGAAAGAAAGTGTGGCAATGGGTTCACCAGTTTCTCGATTGTAGCGAATTTACGCATGCATTCTCTAGAAACCAGTGCGACCACAAGATGTGTAAATCCCCCAAAAGTCTGGTTATGGTATGCAGATGACATTTTCATTAAACGGAATGATTTTGAAGAATTGTTTGAAAATGTAAACATCTCGGAGAGCATCAAGGTAACAAATGAAGTAGAGTCCAATGACCACAAATTAGCGTTTCTCGATTGTCTGGTTGAGCGAAGTTACAATAATAAGTTGAAAATAAATGTATTCAGGAAATCAACACATTCTTAGAGATACTTAGATTACGGTTCGGCTCATGCGTATTATACAACGGTCACAGTTGTACAAAATTTAATTGAAGGATTATTAATCTCAGTACAGAAAAGGAAGACCAACAGATTGAGTTGAATGGAATTTTGTCTACACTTAAAGCCAACAATTACCCCGGAAAGTGTTCAAAGATGATGAAAAATGAAAGGAAAAACTAAATTAGGGAATATACCGAAAGATTGGAAGTCCACCGTGGTCATCCCATACCGTAGTGAAACATTGGAAGAAATGAAGAGGATTCTAAACAAACATGATATGAGTGTATTTTCTGGCTAGTGACACCATAAGACCAGCATTAGTGAAAGTTAAGGATAGATTTCATAATGAAGAACAGAATATTGTCTATGAGATCAGTCGCGATGATTGTAATGCAGCGTATGTGGGAGAAACTTCAAAATAATTGAATGTGAGGTTGAAGGAACACAAACAATGTTTGAGAAATTTTCCCAAATCCTCGGTTGATCTGAAGAAACTTGAAGTTAGATTGGCGATAGCGTTACAGGCTGGCTTCAGAACTTGTTGTATCTGCATCGATCACATATTCACCATTCGTCAGGTTCTAGAACACAGGCATACTTATCGGCGTCCGACAATGGTGATCTTTCTTGACTTAAAAGCACAATTTGACTCTGTGGACCGAGAGGTTCGGTAACAGTATCTATCGTTGAAAGGCGATTCTTAGAAGTACATAAGCATTGACCTCCTGGAAGGAGGTCCAATTATCGACTTAGAATACGCAGATGATATAGTCCTGTTTAGTGAAGACACTGATAAAATGCAGAGTGTTTTGCTAGCACTGGGCAACAATGCCAGAATGTTCGGAATGAGTTTCTCCCTCTCCAAATGCAAGTTGTTGCTTCAGGACTGGTCTGTGTCAACACCTGAAATGAGGATAGGGAGTGAAGTAGTCGAACGCGTCGACAACTTCGCTGATCTTGGAAGTCCGGTCAACCCTAATGGGTTGGTGTCTGACGAAATCTCTGCACGGATTCGAAAAGCTCGTTTGGCTTTTGCCAACTTACGTCACCGATGGCAAAGGCGAGGTATCCGTCTGTCAATTAAGGGACGAGTGTACTGTGCAGCAACCCGTTCTGTTCTACTTTACGTCTGCGAAGCGCAGTCAATAAAAGTAGAAATTGTTCGTGATTTACTAGTATTTGGTCACAGATACCTTAGAAATATTGCCAGCATTTGCTGGGATCACCGGGTGAGTAATAGTGAAGTTAGACACAGGGTATTAGGGAACGATGGTAAATCAGTTGATGAAGTTGTGAATCTTCATCGACTGAGATGGTTGAGCCACATAAAAGAAGCTTTTGCTCAAGTGGCTTCCGTTTCTAGTAACATTATGCAATTCATGTGTCCAGGTAGCCATTTTGATGTATTTAACATCACAGCGGGAAATATAAGTAAATCAGAATGAACTCGAGTCCTGAGTCTTTTAAAATATTTCGCGTTTCTTATTGAATGATTCCTAGAAGTCTCTTGATAGCCTCAGACTAGAGAATTACAAAATTTGGTCATTCGTAAAGGAAAAGTGTGTCTACAGCCCATTTTTCTGTGGTGTGTCTCTAAATATGAGACACTGTATTTAATTTTTATATCTAGACTGAGGTTACTTAATGATTTTAAAAGATGCTCAGGAGTATTCAGGTACTTTAAGCCATAGCCTGTAGTTATTCTACTGTTACTACCGGTCTCAAGCGCAAGTAAAGGAGGAGAGTTGGGCATCCATCCCATCCCGTAAAAAACAATTTTCCTGAAAAAACGCTAACCAGAATTAATAATATAAACTACTTTGGGGGTTGAAGGATCTTTCAGAACAATTATGATGCCTCATGGTGAAAGCTTAGATTCTTCGGCAGTTATGAGGCCGATACCACTTCTAACAACCAGAGCAACAATTAATATAGGTACACGGAACGTCTGGACAATGTGGGAGACCGGGAGGACCGATCAAATAGCTGCGGAAATGAGGAGTTACAACTTGCCGGTGCTCGGATCCAGTGAAACCCATTTAACCCAAAGTGGATAGAATAATAGATTTGGGAGTGATGCTGCTGCACTCCTGTCACAAAGAAGAAAATATTGCTCATACTCAGTGAGTTGCTCTAATGCTGTTCAAAGAAGCACGTAAAGCGATTAATCAGAGGGAAATCTCGTGGACCCAGGATTACCAGAGCATCTTTCAAAATAAAGGAGGAAATTATAATCAATCCAGTGTTATGCACCCACTAATGATAGCAACGACGACAATGAAGATCAGTTCTGTGAGAGGCTGCAGTCAATCAAAGCAAATTGCCCAGGAAAAGACCTGACCATCCTGATGAGAGATCTAAACAGATTGGTGATAATTGTGAGTGGTAAAGTCATAATGTGGTGCGTGCTACTTATATTGATATAAGTAGTATATAACGCGAGTTAAAGAACGTAATGTCTGGCAGCAGAAGATGGGGGAAGAGCGAGAACACAATGGATTGATGTTTGCAACGGCAACAGTCCGGTTTGATATGATGGAATGATATTTTACAAATTATCGATCTACTATTTAGATTTTCTATTTTACCAAGTAACTCTGTAATTTTGGGCTAAATACATTCGTTTGTCCCCACCCATGTTCTTGTTCACTACAATAACAGCTACCACATGGTAAATGTCCAGTAACAAGTAATTAGACGCCATCTCTACCCAACCTATTTTTTCACACGCATTGTTATTCGTACTTATTTACGCCTGTTGCTCCTCGTAGAGGGGCATAGGTCACCCACCACCCACTCTTCTCTACCTGTCTCCGTCCTGGGCAATCCTTCACAGTTGTTATTCATCCTTACCATGTCTTTCAGTTGTCGGCGAAATCTGTTCTTTGGTCTTACTCTTTTCTGTTTCTCTTCATGATTCCAAGTTAGCAATTGCTTCGTGATGCATTTTGGTGTCTTTCACAATGGATATCCTATCCACTTCCAACATCTAACTTCTTAATCTGAAAGCTGGTTTTGCTCTCTCCTATGGTAGGTTGTTGCTGATGGTATCCGGTCAACGGACATTCAGTATTTTGCGTAGGCAATTGTTATTCTGACAGAAATTAATTGGGATATTTTAGTATCACAATTATATATTTGTTGGTTCTCAGTTTATACGCACATCGATAGTTCACAAACAATTCCAACTTTCAATTTGTACTTTTATTTTTACTTCATATAACGAAAAATTAATACCCAATATCAACTTTCAGTAACTCAAACTTGCACACACAATTATTCATGCATTTATCTCCACATTGCGAACTTTTCACATGATCCGCACATAACTGACTCATGTTATCCTACTTACATGATTGGATAATGAAAGTGAAAAATTATTCATTGTTAAGCATTATATATTTGGTAGTTTTGGTTTTGATTACCTTGAAGAGGTCTGGGCGAGATTACTGGACGTAACGTTGGGATTATGTAATTTTCAGTCGCTGAGATTATTTCAAATATAATTTTACAAGTAATGTTAAATCTCTGTAGTTTTTATCACTTTCTTGATGCTCGATTGTTTACGTGTTTTTGTTAACTTGATAATTTAAGGCTTTCTTTGACTTCTACGCGTTTCCAACGTGATGCACGTGCACTAGAGATGGAAGAAGAACAATGGTTTGATCAGGATGAAGATGAGGAAGAGGAAGAAGATGGAGATAACCTATTCCCACAACACTCGCCAACATTGCTCAATAGAACGACAAATGCTTCTGCTAGTGCAAGTGAACCTACTGTTGGAAGTGGTTTGTCAAATCTCCCTTCATATGGGCTACATTCTGTAATCACTACTTCGTCAGATTTATTGGGTATTGTTACGTCTTCAGATACGCAATCCAGTTTGGTTTCTTTATCATCCTCGGTCGCACCAAGCAATTCTAGTCTTGATTCATGCGCTAGTGTTCTGCCTCATCCACCCAGTTTTTCACCGAAATCTGTAATGGATAATTTAACTGACAATTTATGCATACCTCCACGTTCAGGATCTCTGTGCGATAGACTTCGTGTACGTCCTCACACTGTTCTTTTGAATGATGATAATGAGTCTTCTGCAGCACGTCTTAATTTTGGTCGTCAAACTCCTATAGCGATTCATATCAAATCATTGTGTAGAGAGAAAATAGAAACAATGAGTGATGGATTTGAAATAAGTGGTCGATTAAATCCATCTTTATTAGCGTCAGATACCAGTTTATCAAGCACCAGAAATCCTAACCATATTGATGATAATGAATATAAAGAAAATGTAACTGGTTCGAATTCAAGTGATGCACAAAACTCATCAGTATCAAGTCCCATTATGTCTGATATTTCCCATAAAATAAAGCGAAATCATATCGATCCTCCTGTTGAAAATGAGGACTGCAATTTAGTCCAGGTAAAACGTTTGAAAAAATCTAGACAGTCAAGTAACAAGTCATCATCTCAAGATTTTCACCTACACAAAGAAACAGTTATCTTGGAAAACAGCTACTCTGACAAACTTCCTCATGAGACAAATAATACAAAATCATTTGAGGTGGGTTAATTGTTTTAATTTCTCATCAGTGAGGTGTTTAAGCGAGTAGTTGCTTATTTTAGATTCGCTTTATTATAATCAAGAAACTATTTATGTTAGTAAAATACTTTTAAATATTCATCAGTGCTTAAAATTGCATTTCAATATCCACATACTTACGCCCATTACTTCCAATGGAGCATAGGCCTCCGACCAGCAAGTATCCACATATGTGTACATATTTAATCTTGCTTTTAAATCGAAATATTGTAATAATAGGAAGCGAATGAGTATTAATGTAATCTACCAACATCACTCATTTTCATCCTAAATGTGCATAAACTCTTTATGTTATCGGATTAAATGTGGTGGACTGAGTAATAGTCAACAAACTAAATTGATGAGCTACAGATTTCTAATAAATTTGTTTCGTTACTCTGTTTATCGAAAGGGTTGATTAATAATCTTATTACATACCTCATACTCAGTAGATGGGATTTACACTGAAATGATAAAGCTGAACGAAACTAAATTAAAACATATTACAAACGGTTATTGTGATCGATTTTGTATTATTTATTTCTAACACAAAATTCTTGCATTATAGGCTTAAAGATATCTCCTACATAAAATAAAACGAAGAAACAAGGAATATTATGTGATGAATAGCAAAAGTTAGAGGTATTAAAGAACTTTGGGCGCAACCCAAATATACTTTGTTCGACTCAAAGAAACATCTTAATTTCTATGAAGAATACATTTAAAAAATGGTCATAGGATCACTGGTTTATTATGTAGGCCATTCATTTCGATTGACATGGTTTGTATAAAATCTGGGATTCTCCTTAGATGTTTAAACCAAGCAGGTGATTCTTACATAGAATCAATCTCTGGACCTATGGTCTACAGTTTTATTATGTAGCAACATACTGACTTAAATCCACTTGGTATTGCTTGCTTGTATCTTCCTATTGTTGTTAAGGACTGCAATTTATCAGTCTCAAATAGGACGAAAGGCGCGTCCTGAATTCCACTGCTAGCCACCGTCAATCTTAACATACTGACTATTATGAATGACGATAAGTTAACCATAAAATACAAATCTTCTGTTTAACTATATATATTACATTTACAATTGATTGATCACTGCGTAGTGATCAATGTCATGTATGTCAGTTCCTTCCTAGTGCAGATAGATCTAATCTCCAAAGCTGTAATTTGGCCACTAGTCTAGGTGACTTGACATTGCGTGCACCATGTTGAGATAAGATGGTATTTGGAGGTGGTCGACAGGAAACCCTGGACCTAGGTTTAGTACTATTTGGCACTCGTCAACAAGGTGTACCTGTAATCTTGAGGGAACGGATGCTCACTGGCTGATGTGATCCCTTATCACCCAGCTTCGCAGTCAGAGACGTTACCACGTGGTCGATAGGATTCGATCTGCACTAAGAAGGACCTGACACACATGACATCGATCAACACCCAGTGATCAATCAATTGTAAATACATAGTACAACTTATTTCGCCGAGTCCTAGAACCAATGCTTTGACTTCAAAGCTATGATTTTTAAACTCGAGCATTCCCGTGGCGTGAAGGCAGTGAGTTAAACTTTGTATGAGGGTATGCCTCATTCTATTGCACTTGAACATGTGTGGAATACACCGCATTTCAATTTCCTCTGATGTTTTAACTGGGACTGATATTGTTTATCTATTTTTTATGAATGCATGGTAAATATATAAAATCTATTAACACATCGAAACCTCATAGTAAGTCCAAAAATCATGTATTTTATTTTGAGTTGTTTGTGTCTATTGTATGTTTTTGATTGGTGCAATAAATGACATAATCCCGGTAACAATCATAAAAGAGTAACATCACATGTTCTATCAATAATTCATTTGACCTATGCTTGCAGGTTATAGAAGCTGATCCATTGTCTCCTATTGGTTTGGTGGATTATTCAGATGAAGAAAGTGAGGAAGAGGAACAAATAAAAGACAAAAATGACCACATTCAATTTGAAGAAAATCAAACATCAAATAATGACGTTGATGGGTCTCATCACAACATATCGGATGTTTCATCCAGTCAAGTGGTGACAGATGTAGTCTAAAATTGTACAAAGTTGTTAAGCATCCATTCCTTACTTTTTACAAAAGTGATGAGACGTCGAAATGAACCATTTCTGTGCCTTTGTCTTACAACTTAAAGGAATATTTTTTTAACAAAAGTGATTTCATCAATTTTGTTAAAACCACCAACCATCCAGGTTGAGATGCTTAAGACATTGGCTATGCCAGTGGTTCTTCGTCATTTCTCCTTTAATTTCCATCTTCAGTAAATGCGCCAAACTTCTAATTTTTCCTGTCTATTGCCCAGCGCGCATTTTGTACATAGAAACATTGTATTGATTGACTGGGGGATCTAAAAATAATTTTATGTAGAGAAATGTTTGTATAACTAATAGGCATTTGCCTTTTGTAAATGCGCTTTGTTTAATAATGTTTATTGTAGACACCTCAAATTGTTTCAGATTTTTTTTTCTCAATCCGTCAATTGAAATGAATATATCATAGCACATGTCTTAATACTTAATTGATATGTGTAACGTCAGTCTGTGTTGATATGTTGAATGGTCACTCGTTTGTTTTTCGCATACGCCTTTTTGGTTCCGGATAATTTTTCATGCGCCCGTTATTTCGTATTCGGTAAACAGTTGACTTACTCAAACGTTTTATTTCCCGATTGGTAAAAGATTCTGATTATAGATCTATGAGGAAGATGACGTATGGTGAAGCAATGTATTCGTTACCTAAATCAACCAATCTACCCTCCATCTATTTCGTCGTCACACTGCTCCGTAAACCACATTCACGAATTTTGATTTACTCACGTGTCCGAAATTTAATTATCTCATGATTACATTTAGGAGTACTCTGACTAAGCATATACGGGATGCCTACGATCATAGACCAATTAACTCCTGATAGTTACATACTTTTGATAAAGCCGTCTGACTTGTGTACTGAGATGACTGGCGTAGACTACATTTGTGGTGTGTGCTATTTATACATACAGTTATAATTATTATACATCAGGTATGGAAAGTAGGATTCGTACTGACAGTAAAGGAAAATGAAAAGAAGAGAAAACTGAAAACAACAGGAATCGAATGACGATGAAGATAGTAAAACTCAGCTGCAACGTAGAACCAGGCACACATATGCATCGGTCCAAGTTGCCTCAACAAAATGAACACCAAATTCATAAAATTAGTTAATTCAGAGGTGGTAATATATAAAAGAAAGATTGCATATAAAGATATAGTACAGGAAGAAAGAATTGGTTCGTAGAAAGAAAGATATGAAGCGATTTTAGACTCTTAGTTTAAGGGAAGACAGAGAGTATATACACCGACGCCATTGTGATCGATTCTGAGCCATGTCACCAAGAGTCTTCGACTACTCATTACGATAGTTGCGTGGACCCCAACCAAGTAGTCTGCATCTCCCAACATGGCTCAGACCACAAGTTAGTGACTTCAAGCTCTAATGCAACGTTTTGGTTTGGCCGCACCTAACTTTCTTCCAACCGCCCCCAACACTAGTCAGCATTGCGCGTCGTGCTAATCGGTGTTCAGGCATACGTAACACGTGGCTCAACCATCTCAGTCGATGAAGATTCACAACTTCATCAACTGATTTACCATCGTTCCCTAATACCCTGTGTCTAACTTCACTATTACTCACCCGGTGATCCCAGCAAATGCTGGCAATATTTCTAAGGTATCTGTGACCAAATACTAGTAAATCACGAACAATTTCTACTTTTATTGACTGCGCTTCGCAGACGTAAAGTAGAACAGAACGGGTTGCTGCACAGTACACTCGTCCCTTAATTGACAGACGGATACCTCGCCTTTGCCATCGGTGACGTAAGTTGGCAAAAGCCAAACGAGCTTTTCGAATCCGTGCAGAGATTTCGTCAGACACCAACCCATTAGGGTTGACCGGACTTCCAAGATCAGCGAAGTTGTCGACGCGTTCGACTACTTCACTCCCTATCCTCATTTCAGGTGTTGACACAGACCAGTCCTGAAGCAACAACTTGCATTTGGAGAGGGAGAAACTCATTCCGAACATTCTGGCATTGTTGCCCAGTGCTAGCAAAACACTCTGCATTTTATCAGTGTCTTCACTAAACAGGACTATATCATCTGCGTATTCTAAGTCGATAATTGGACCTCCTTCCAGGAGGTCAATGCTTATGTACTTCTAAGAATCGCCTTTCAACGATAGATACTGTTACCGAACCTCTCGGTCCACAGAGTCAAATTGTGCTTTTAAGTCAAGAAAGATCACCATTGTCGGACGCCGATAAGTATGCCTGTGTTCTAGAACCTGACGAATGGTGAATATGTGATCGATGCAGATACAACAAGTTCTGAAGCCAGCCTGTAACGCTATCGCCAATCTAACTTCAAGTTTCTTCAGATCAACCGAGGATTTGGGAAAATTTCTCAAACATTGTTTGTGTTCCTTCAACCTCACATTCAATTATTTTGAAGTTTCTCCCACATACGCTGCATTACAATCATCGCGACTGATCTCATAGACAATATTCTGTTCTTCATTATGAAATCTATCCTTAACTTTCACTAATGCTGGTCTTATGGTGTCACTAGCCAGAAAATACACTCATATCATGTTTGTTTAGAATCCTCTTCATTTCTTCCAATGTTTCACTACGGTATGGGATGACCACGGTGGACTTCCAATCTTTCGGTATATTCCCTAATTTAGTTTTTCCTTTCATTTTTCATCATCTTTGAACACTTTCCGGGGTAATTGTTGGCTTTAAGTGTAGACAAAATTCCATTCAACTCAATCTGTTGGTCTTCCTTTTCTGTACTGAGATTAATAATCCTTCAATTAAATTTTGTACAACTGTGACCGTTGTATAATACGCATGAGCCGAACCGTAATCTAAGTATCTCTAAGAATGTGTTGATTTCCTGAATACATTTATTTTCAACTTATTATTGTAACTTCGCTCAACCAGACAATCGAGAAACGCTAATTTGTGGTCATTGGACTCTACTTCATTTGTTACCTTGATGCTCTCCGAGATGTTTACATTTTCAAACAATTCTTCAAAATCATTCCGTTTAATGAAAATGTCATCTGCATACCATAACCAGACTTTTGGGGGATTTACACATCTTGTGGTCGCACTGGTTTCTAGAGAATGCATGCGTAAATTCGCTACAATCGAGAAACTGGTGAACCCATTGCCACACTTTCTTTCTTCGGAATGAAAATAACGTCGGTCGTAAATACAATTCCAAAACACTTAATAACTTCGGAAGGATCTAACGGGCATCGTAAATTCAAATCTGAGTCAGATTATAAACAATCATAAATAATATCTCATACTTTGTTGATAGGTACATTAGTAAATAAGTTAGATTTAAATTGACAATAGAGGTAATTTCGTTGTAAATAACACTCAAATGAACTAGAAGCCATTAGAGTTCATTTTATAAAAGAAACATTAGAAATATCTTTTCACAAAGCAATCCAGATTAATTGCCTTTCTATCCATTAATGAAGGTTAACGACACCAAATAACTTAACGGCAATCAAGACTTATTTGAATTTTGAAAATAAGTAGATACTCCTCTTTAAATGAATGATTTCAACCCGACAGTATATGTATTGATAGTTATAGGATATTTCTTTAAGAAATTGTACAACAAGTGCCCTCACTTTATAATCCCACTGATAACAAAAAGAAATAACGCAGACAAACTGCTACCAAGTTCAAACAAATAAAACTTACACATCTAATGTCGCTTGCTGGGTCACAGTTCCAACAACAGTCCTAACTGAACGATGACTGTGATCGTATGCTCGTTTTAGATCGGTAAACGTTTGTACGTAATTTATATTTTTCAAAATATCCCAATAATTTTCTATTATATGGGTAATTAATGAAGTTATTTCTTCAGAGCGAATATAGTCAAAAAGTTCGATAATAGCTGAGTCCAACAGGTTGTAACGATATCCGTTGGAAACGAAGAGCTTCAAAACTGGTTTAAAAAGATTGTTTTTGATCAAATAACGATTATAAAATTCTTCTTTCATATGGACAACACGTCTTAGAAGACGTAAAGCAGCTAAAAATAGACAGCAGATTAATGCTGAGAATGAGTTAACCTACCTAACACAAGGAATTTATGAGATGATAGCAATAAAACGAGAACACGTTTTAGTAGATCACGATTAAAGCAGTAATTCTTCATGTGGTATGTATGAGTTTCAATACAGAACGTGAGCAATTCAATTATATGGTTCAAAACTAATGCAGTGTGATAATCATCTACAATAGAAAAAAAGCGTATGATAAACGGAAATATTTCCCATTACCCTTCTCCAGTGTATCTTTTGAAGTATTATCAAATAATGGACGAACAAGTGTATTGATGCATCGTTTATAGAAAAAACTGAGAAAATCTGTTTTTTCGCTACGCTGTAATAGAAAAAATAACAAAATAAACACAGAAACATCACTATTTTACAAATAAATCTGAAAAAAATGATAATTTTATACACAACTGAGAGTAGACAATTTAATACTTTTATTGAACGAAGCTGTGCTAATTTCCAACAAGTGTGTTAACTCTCAGGATTAAGATATAATTGAAACGGATATTAGATTCCTTGCAGTTTAACAAAAAGAAGTGTTGAAAGTTAGATCAGATGTGATTTTAGCAAAAAATCTTGGAACTGAACATAATAACATCAGACTAGTTTTCAATCGCTGATCCTCCCAATCTCTAAGAAAGGACTTAATTCCTCTTATGACAATCCAACTAGAGCTTAAAAACCAGGTTGGTATCAGACCAAATATTCACTCTTTGGTAGATTATGAAACACAGACACAATTTTCGATGTCCGACTGTTGCTGACTCTTTTGACCTTACGGCGGCGCCTGTTGGGGACGCTAGATCCCCATAAATCGCTTAGTAAACGTCTTATTTTTGTAATTTTATTTCGGAAATTTGAATTTCTTGTTTTCGCATCAAAGGCGATTACTTCAACCTTCCGATTGTATTTTCTATTTGGAAGGATCTTAAAATTCATTGATTCGATCCCTCTTTTAAGACACTTTTTGCGGCGTTTCTCGAAGACCTTTTTATACTGTATATATATAGACTTAAGTTGTGTGCTTGATTTGTTCGTGATTCAGGCTGCTTGTGTAATATACTTCTCCCTCTAGTCATTAGGGCTACGATGCAATGGAATAACTTAGCTTGTCTTATCGTTGTGTTGCTGATACTTCGTTCCGTTCGCCGCCCGACCGTTGTTGCTACCTTAACGTGGTGGTCGGGCTTGCCTATCGTGATGAACCAATCGAGCTATATTGGCTGGAACAACCGTTCCTCAAGATCCTACAATGTCAGACAGGTCGATTGAAGAGCGGTAAAACTAGAAGCAACAAACTCAAGGTCTGAAGGCGAAGTCATACTGCTGACTGTACGGAGGTATGACAGCAGTGAGGTGTTTCCTCTGGACAACCATCATAACAGCGATGTTGCTTTCCCACGAGGTGGGGTGGGGTTAGAAAAGGTCCACCCAAAAAATGCACACTC